GTCCAATGTGCACTCTACATTCCTTTCAAGATTCTTTTTAGTGTTCAGGAAAAAGTAGGAAGTGAACTTTATTTACCAAACTGAAGGCTTATAACACAATGAGCAGGTGAGGAAATGAACTTTGTTCTTAGGAATAGTGCTCAGCACAGCTTGAGAAAAGATCGCCATATGTGGCTATCGTGGGGGCATCTAAACGTCACCAGCCCTTAGTCCAGCGGGGCCCCGCTGCCCTGCCAGAGCTCGCGTGTGAGTGGCAGGCTGAACAACCTCCCTCTCCCCTCAAAGATGTCTAGATCCTAATGCCTGGAAGATGTGAATACGTTGCCGTCCCTGACAAAAGCGATGTTGCTTATCCTAGATTATCCTGGTAGATCCAGTATAATTACTTGGGACCTTTTAAGAAGGGAGGCAGGATCTTTAAAGTCCGTCGTAGGCTACGTGAGGATGAAAGGAAGAGGCTGGCGTGTTATGGGGGGGCGTGGGCAGGAGCCAAGGAATGCAGGTAGCCAAGCTGAAAAAGGCAGGGAAGTAGATTCTCTCCTCAGAGCCTCCAGAAGCAACCAGCCCTGGCAATACCTTGATTTTAGCCCAAGGAGACTGATTTTGGACTTCTGGTTCCCTGCACCCTAGGATAATAAATTTGCATTGTTGTAAGCCACTAAGTTTGTGATAGTCTGCTATAGCAGCAATAGAAAACGAATACATCCAGGGAACTCCTGTTTTTAAAACTCTGCTTAAAAGAAGATAGGAATGTAATAAAACAGGCATGAATTTTGAGATCACAGCAGTGAGTTCACAGGTAAATGTGGACTCTTCCTGTTGGACAATAACCTTAACTTGAGTCTCTTTGCTACCGACATGGAGATAGTACTTCTCTGACAAGGTTATTTTGTGAAATGAAAAGGAAGTATACACACCCTACATAGGGCTATTTAGATATATTCGATTTACTCTCCCCTTATCTGACACTCACAGAACCATAGTTAAGACAACAGGGTGGAAGATCTTATGGACAACACTACTCATCATGCAACCCGCAGGGGTTTCTGTGCAAGGGTGTGAGATTTACTCTACAATTCTTTGAGTGCTTACGTTGTATAAGGAATCATGAAGAGTGGTATAGGCATACACAACTGTAATCAGACAGTAAGAAATTGATAATTAGCATAATGAGGGTTTTTGTGGAATGAATTGGAAGACTGTGAGAAAAAAGCCAGGTAGGAGAATTAAAGATCGTATTGCACTCCACAGTTATATATAATTTTTATTTGTGAATTAAAAATTAATTAACTAATTTAAAAAGTAAAGAG